GAACATTGGAGAACAACTAAATTGAGAAAGGCCTCCTAGAGGAAGGTGTATTTGGCTTGGACCTCATGGAGGAATGGGAAGTCCCTTGAGGGTATAGACAGATGTAATGGTAAGCATGCTTGGCAGAAGGAACAGCATGTGCACAGCTCACAGACAGGAAAAAACATTTAGGGACAGATGGGTAGTTCAATGCTGCTAGAGCAGAAAGAGGAAATGCAGGTTTGAGTCAACTTATGAAGGGTTTATAAGTTATGACAAGGAGTTTGAATATCTTTTGGTTAGCACCTGTTGATGATAGTTTTCTTAGCTCAGGGAATTAAAAGCTTGTATTATTTTTTTTTGTGAAAATTGTCCATACATGGACAGATGTCCCCTGAACACTGCCTCTCCCCCCTTTTGGAGCTTACACATTACTTGGGGGCAGTTAGGAAGACCTAATCACAGTTGTATTTTCTTTGTTTTAATAAATTCATTTGGGAATGGGTAGATATAGTTCATCTTTCAGTGAAAGAGAGAGAAGGGGCTGAATACGTACCTTCCAGGACAGTGAATCTGTGATATATCAGTTTTTGCCATGACAGTATACAACCCCAACACCAGCGGCTTATGGGAAACAACAATTATCTCTTGCTGTGGTTATCTGCAGGTCTTCTGGACTCTACTGGGCTCTGTTCGGCTACACTGGGCCCTGCTGGCTTCTATTAGGCCCTTTTGAGCTCTGTTGGACACTACTTATCTCTGTTAGGCTTTGCTGGGTTTGTATGGAGTTCTGCTGGACTGGATCTGTCTCCATTTTCATTCTGGCAGCCCAGCTGCAGAAGTAGCTATTATTGGGGGTATACTACTAACATGATGAAAGGCTAGAGTGAGAGGATAGCAGCTAAGTCATTCTGTGACATTCATTGTGGTGCAGTCTGTCCTTGACCAAACTCTAGTGAAGTGCCCCTGTGTGCTCAATTAGGGCTCAATGTGGCTTATAAAAATAGAGACTCTCAGCACAAATAATTTTGTCCATACTTCCCTAACACCCCATCGCCATTAAGAACTGAAAAAACACTAGCATCATTTCTAACAGCTCAAGGCTGCCCCCCTAGGATGACTCCAGTTTGTCTTAAAGTGCCTGCCTGAGAAAGCTCAGCCCTGTTTGGGGAAGTTCTGTTCGCTCCAACCCAAAGCTGGTGATGGGCAGATAGGTCCCTGTGAGCTGAAAGACCAAAATAGACACCTAACTCTAGACCAAGAAGACCCCTAAGGTTGAGGAAACAAAAGTTACCTACAGGTTGGGTCAAGGGTTCAGGGCCTGGCCAGCATGGCAAATTTCTAAATTCCTCCAATACCTCGTTAACTCTCTAACCATAGGAGGTATCAGGCTGATTTACAACCAAGAACACTAAAATTCTGATTGGAGAGAGGACCAGCCTTACAAGGAGACAAACTTTATCTCATTTCAATGCTAAAGCTCTGTCCCAAATTGAACATTGGATGTACTGTGTTTCCCCGAAAATAAGACCTACCCATAAATTAAACCCTAGCAGGATTTCTAAGCATTTGCACAATATAAGCCCTACCCTGAAAATAAGACCTAGTGATGGGCGTGGCTGCGCAGCGTGTCTGCACAACCCATGCATTTCGTCGCGGAGTGGGAAAGAAGATGAACAGCCCTTCTCATCTGCCCCATCGTGACAGCTACTATCCCAGAGGTGAACGAAAGATGCAGGCAGCCCTACCAACAAGGTCATGTGTTGCAAGCTGAGGATTTGAGGGGAAAATAACACATCCCCTGAAAATAAGTCCTGGGGTGTCTTCTTGAGGAAAAATAAATATAAGACCCTGTCTTATTTTCAGGGAAACATGGTATGTTACATACATGATTATTCATTGCACGTGTACTCAGCTCCCCTCATAAATATTTATAGCTTTTCCCCCAGACCTGCTGAATGTGTGTGATGCTATCCCCCGAAGGATAAAACTCAACCTGTCCTTTCCCTCTTCTAAGAGGGAGCATGCTCAGCAAACACTAGAGACTGTCTCTGCCTGGTTTTCAAATCAGTATCCCCAATTAAAACTGTCCTTTTTACTATTTAGCCACCCTGGTGGTCTTTTGGATGACACTCTTATACCCCCTCTTTAGAATGTTTACAGTTATAAATCCTTTCTCTGCCTCTTTGAGATGTAAATCTCCTACCATTCTGAACAATCTTCTCAAGGACCTGAATGCCATCTCTTGAAAGGCAAACATTCAGAGAGATAACTCTCACTCTACCTCCCAGTCCCCGTGGGTGGGCTGGACAAGGGCCAAAGGTTAACTTAACAAACTTGCTTCAACTTGCATCACTGTCTCCTGTAATAAAGATACAGAAATTTATTTCTCCTCAAGATAAGTGCCAATTAACAAACCCAGATGGCCTAGTCACCTTAGCCAACCCCTGTTCTTGCTTTTTGTAAATTTCCACTTCCCTTGCTCTGTATAAGCTCTGCTACGACCCCTCCCTACTTCCCCATTCTCCCTTTAAAACTCCCAATCCATCACCTCTGCACAAATCAAGTTTAGTTCACAAAGTTTAGTTCATGCTGGACCTTTAGTGCACAAGGTTTAGTTCATGCTGGACCTTTTTCCCTATTGTAATAGTTTATTACTGAATAAAATCTTTCCTCATTACTTTGAGTAGTGTCTGACTTTATCTATGACAGAGGCAAATGTCACATTTGGGCATGTGAGATGATCAAGCACAAAATCAGTGGAGGCAAGAAAACATGACAAAGCAGGGAATAAGCACACAGATAAACCAGTGATGATATGCGATGGCGTTTTAATAAAGGCAATACAAGTGGATCTACCATTTGATCCAGCAATCCCATTACTGGGCATCTACCCAAAAGACCCAATGACACTCTACAAAAAAGACACCTGCACCTGAATGTTTATAGCAGCACAATTCATAATTGCAAGGCTGTGGAAACAGCCCAAATACCCATCAATCCAAGAATGGATTAATAAAATGTGGTATATGTATACCATGAAGTACTATTCAGCTCTAAGAAACAACGGTGATATAGCACATCTTATATATTCCTGGTTAGAGCTGGAACCCATACTACTAAGTGAAGTATCCCAAAAATGGAAAAACAAGCACCACATATACTCATCAGCAAACTGGTATTAACTGAGCAGCACCTAAGTGGACACATAGGTACTACAGTAATAGGCTATTGGGCAGGTGGGAAGGGGGAGAGTGGCAGGTATATGCATACATAATGAGTGAGATGTGCACCATCTGGGGGATGGTCATGCTGGAAACTCAGACTTGTGGGGAGAGGGGGGGAAAGGGCATTTATTCAAACCTTAAAATTTGTACCCCAATAATATGCCAAAATAAAAAGAAAATGAGTACTAAAGATTCTAGAAAGTGGACTTCCTATTAAGGAAGTCAGTGTTGTGGATAAAAAAACTCACAGCAATGTTGTTCACTTAACATCAACTCATCATAGATGAGTCAGGGCAAAATTTCCTCAAGGGAGCTAAACTCATAAATTTAAAAATGTATAAACTTTAATATCAGAAATATGTTTTTGATTAGCATCTTTAACTGTTGAGTAATGTTCCAATGTTCTTTAAATGGAGTCAATTAGTTGTACTGCCTTTTTATTATTAAAAATATGTATCTGATAGTGAAAAATGAAAAAGTCATAAAAATCTTTGGCAAATCAGAAGACTAAAAAGCATCTAAAATGTCTTGTCTGCTGTAAATTTTGTTAAAATCTTTCTACCTGATTTTATTTTCACTTTATTTAACAAAATAAATAAAAAACTACAACTGTGATTGCCACTTGATGCACATTTTCAGCTCCTTTACAGACATTTTTTCAGGCCATGCTAGAAAAAAGAACACCAATTATTTAAGACAGTCTTGTATTCATTGAAATTGTTTAGCCATTTAAATTTCAGACTCTCTATGCTCCAGCAGACAGTACAAAATGTACTATTTGGATGATGTTCACAGCCCAGCATCAGGAAACAGTCTCAGAAAATTAAAGTCCAGGCTCTGGTGTGTTCTCTTCTGTGATATTCAACTTGAAAGAAAAATGACTCTGCAACGTAGCGACAGTAAACAGCAACAGATCACAATAAGTGGACAATCGTGTGAGGGATGGGTAGTGAATGAGAGTTAAGCTGGTGAAAGTTTCTAAATTAATTAGTTAGTTCAATATATTAAATGATCATCTATTAAGTGGAAAGTTTACTTGTGTTTTATAGATGGGGGACTCAAAGGGAATGGAAGGTAAAGAAAAAAACAGATCCTTGCCCTCCATGCCCTTGTTGGGTAGTGAAACATTCCAGGAATTGATATTAAACATTTATGTGTTTGGTGATGGTCAAGACATGGTCTGTTTTCACAATAATATCATAGTGAGTGGAGAACAGAGAAGGGCAGAGGAGGGAGCTTGCCCTTTAGAGAGAAAAATTAGATTTCGGAATTATTGAAACAAATTGGAGACTAGTTCCAACTTGAACACTGCCAAAATAACATTTAAAGAGAAGCAAATTTAGAAAAACAAATGGTACTTGTAGTACACCAGGAGATATTTATTGCTTTATGTAAATACAACTGAAATTTACATGGTTATGGCAAGTCAGAGAGGAAGCCAAATGATCTAAACAATTGGGCCAGATTTAAACTAAAACTGATGGAAGCAATGACAGTGTCAACAAAATCATAGTTAATATCGTAGTTAAAACCATGGTTGGTCTCAGGTCAGTAATTCTTCATGATGGTCAAGATCATCCTATCCGAAAGTTAAGTGACTTTAATGAGGGTGAGGGAGACAAAATTTTCTTTGGATGATTAACTTAAAGGGGCATGGCTTTAAAAAAGAATGTTGAACAATCTTATTCTGCATCTTTTCTGCTAGCAAGAGGCCAAAAATGGTATTTTGATGAATGCAATGTTTTGCCCATTTTGCAGTTTAAGAGTGAAGGCCTGTCTTCTCCCTCCTTGTAGGGAGAAGAAATGACATGAGATTGTCCAGGCTGTCTGCTGTGACATCCTTACCATTCCACATTCCCTGGGCTGGGTGTACTTAGTGTCTTGGTGCCAACTGAGGTGATGTTTCCTCTCATCACTTGTTCAAGAGAACAACAGTGTAAAGGTAAGTCATTCAAGGAAAACTATTGATAAAATAAATAAAATATGGTTTATACAGCGAAATCTTAGACTGAGAGATCCTGATTCCTACTGAGATACTTCTACCCTGGGCTTGTTTTCATGGCTGCTTTAGTGCTGGTGGTCTGCCCTGGTGGCTCTCCAAACCTAGAGGATGCTCTTGTTGCCATAAAGATTTTCTCAGGATTAGCCTCATTCCTGGTACAGCTCCCTGAACTTTGTCTTCTACAACCTCAAATAAACTGGCCCTTCCAGGGCACAGAGGAGCCTCAATGCATTCAAGAAGGTCTCCAAGGGGTCTCTGGGGACAACTATTATTACAGTTTCAGCAACATTATGGTTTTAAAATGGTTGTTCTAGTGACTTTTTAAGTCTCCCCATTATATGAGTAAATAGAGTTTGTGGGCAGGCCTGGGAACACACCCATCCCATTTCTCTGGGAAAATGCAGTACAAATCTAAATAGCTCAATAAAGGACTTCTGGAACATAATTCATCAAAGTTGGGACTGACTACATGGGAGTGAAACATATAGGCTTTGGAAGAGAACATGTTGTAATTATATTTGGCAAAGCCCTGAGTCTCTTTGCTACTCCAAATGCTAAAATAGACTTTACATGCCACAACTCAGAGATTCTGATGTATATCTTGGGTTGTGTTTTGAATTTTCTCTCTTCATCATCTACCCCCACCCCACCAGTATTGCAGTAATAAGCCTGTGTGTTTGAGTGTTGAGGCAGGAAAAGGAAATCCTGACAACCAGTGTCCTATATGAAAAGAGAATACATTTGAGAAGAATAGTTCCTAGAAGCAAACCACTAGGAAAATATTTCCTTTTCTAGATATAAAATTTTGGTTATTGTGTTATCTCTATACATTTCCACGCATATACACACACCTCCACTTCTTTTTTTGAGTTTGTAATTTGGGTAACAGTTGAATCCTCCTGGCATGAGAGTATAACGTGTCTCTCAACGAGACTTTTACTAACTCTTAGAGTTTACTCTATTCTGATGTCTGGATTTGTCCACTGTACTATTTGGAGTTGATAATATTTTTTCCAGCAAAGCCTTCCTTCTATATAACAAAATGTTTTCAATGCTAATCATAAAATTCATAAACAAATAGTACTGACAGCCAGGAAAAAAAGAAGATAATGAGAATTCTTGGTTATTGCACTTCATGCATTTATAAATTATGTTAGTAAAATGACATAAAGATTAGAATAAATATAACAGCACAGAAAAAGAGAACAATGGGCTAATACTTTTTAATTACATTGGTACATTTTTTAAAATAAAGGAAATAAAAACTTACAAGCACATATCGATCTGTCACAGTAATGAATAATAACATTGCTATTATTATTGTATGTTTTATTCCTAACTTCTGAAAATTTGAAATGACTTAAGAATAAAAATTATTCTTCTTTGTATATTCATGTTCAGTAAACAGCATAGTCATATTTGTTCATAAATCCTTGCTCATAATTGATCAAAGAATGATTTTTAACAATTTTAATTTCACATGTAGTAAGTTACATAAATAGCATAACTTTTAGTGTTTTTAAACTTTACTTTTTAGAGAAATCTGAGGTTTAGAGGGAAATCACGAAGATAGACAGAGTTCCTATATAGCCACAACTGGTTTCTCCTAGTAACATTTTATATTAGAATAATACATTTGTTATAATTAACAAACTGATATTTATATATTATTATTAACTAAGGGCCATACTTTAGTTAGATTTCCTTAATTTTTACCTAATGTCCTCTTTTTGTTGGTTAGAAAAATTTTAGACATAAGAATATTAAGCAGAGAGTCATAAAAATCCCATTTCACAGAACATTCAGAAAATTGCAAAACCGTCATGTCTGTTTGGATCAATTCTAGTGACTATCATGTGAATGTTCACCAAAAAAAAAAATTATCATAGTTTTTACTACATGTTTTGGAATAATTTAAGATCACTTCTGATATTAACTTATTCCTGCATTTAAGCAATAGATTTGAAATGATTGACACTGCAGTGATCGTAAAATTAGAGAAGCAGAAATTGAGTCCTTAGTCTTGAATGAATGCATGGTATAATCCGAGTGTGTTGGGATCTCATGGTATAACTGGGCTTTCTCCAAATTAATTTTGATGCAGAACAGAATGTTTATTAAAGGATAAGTAATAAAAATGTGCCGATTTATAGCTTACTCATATATTATTAATATTAAATTTCAACAGGATCAGGACAATCATTTCGATTTGGAACTTAGACCAACAGCCACAACATTTTTTTTTTTTTTAAGGGAGGCATATGTTATCACTGACTTGTAGAACTGCCAGCCAAAGCAGACAGGCATTGAGTCAATTTCATTATGGTGTTTAAATCCTTTATGGACAATCCCCCTCTCCTACTGACTGCACTGAGGACAGACCGCTCCTACCATCTGCCTCTCTGTACCCGGCATATCACTGGGTTGATCTTCACAGCGCCTTAGATGCAAATCTCATCTTCCTTCGACTATTTTTTTTTTTTTACAAGAAACCCGTCCATACCATCCCAAGCAAGCATTTGGTAAAGCTTTAAAAGATGTACTGATGCTGCGATGTATTAAGGATACAGGTGACATGGTTTGTTTTCTTTTTGGGGTATCCCTTACATTCCTCAGTGTAAGGGACATTCACCTTTCTCCTCTCAGAAGCAACAAACGAACCCCCTCCTCCCCGAGTCGCTGTATACACTCCAAAGCTCCTTACAGCCCTCTTTCTTCTCCACGCCCAAAATTGTCAATAAAGTTTTAAACAAATGTTTAAAATCCCTTCATAAAAGGAATTCTTGTAGGAGCTGCCAAGAGAATGGTATTTTATCTATTTTGTTACATAAATGATCAGGTTATGTGTAATTTTTTACAGATTAATTTTTTAAAAAAATTTTATTTTTTTTATTTAAGGAAATTATGATAGAGTAATTTTTCCCATAGGATTCTGATTTCTAGAATAAAGTGCATTGGTAGTCATTGTCAGTCAAGTTCATGATTTGAAGCTAGAAAAGTATCAAAACTAAAAATGGAATGGCGTGTTCTTCCTAGAAAGACTCATTGAAAATCTAATTCTCTAGCATCTCAGATGCTTAAAAACCATTGCACTCAGGGCTTTGTCATTGAGTAAACTCCACCCCTCCTTTTTTTTAAAAAAAATTTATCTGTATTTATTATTATTTTTCATTTTTATTTTATTTTTTTTTATTTCAGGATATTACGGGGATACTTTGTTAATGTTTTGGTGAAAGGAAAGGTAGGAATTCTTTTAAAAATTCTTTGCATATTTGTAAGCAATTATTAAGTGGTTGGCTGTCTTTTAAACAGATTATGTTAATTACATTTGTCAGACTTTCTCTCCTAGTTATGATTTCCAAAACTTTAATCATTTCCCTTGCTCTTTTCTTAACCTTTCTGTGTTTCTTAACATTATTTATACTTACTTGATTAATTATAATCAAATGGGAAACATATACCCAAGTATTTTGACTATTTTTTACTGCTTATAACATTCAATAAATATATTTTGATTTTGATCACCTTAATTTAGTTAATTCTAATTTGATATAAGTACTTTAAATGTCTTCCATACTCACATGTTGGTTATTTCCTTTACACAATCCATTTCCTGCTTAAAGTAGAGCAGGGTGTTTTCTATTTTTGTTTTTAACTTTACTGTCCCCCAGAGCTTTCTTAATTGTGTTTTTCTTGGTTAGGCAACATCTTGCCTCTGAATCCTTAAGCCATGAATAAAGTATACTAACATAGTGTAAACTTGATTTGTTAAATGAATTTTTCAAAAATGAAAATTTTGGTTAATAGGTAACAAAGACAATTTATAGTACATCACTTCACAGCCTAGTATCTAGAATTTTCTCTGTGAAGTATAATTCTAGAAATAATCTCCTTTCATATTTGTTATTTAATTTATCACACTGGGGATCTCAAGGGGCAGTAGTAATAGATAGTAGCCAGTGAAAGGCAATGCTCAAGGAAGAAGGTAAATAATATCATTTGAATGCATTTGTTGGTTTTGTACTTTACATAAACTATTTTATTCTATTCCCCTGACTGTCTTACTTAGTTCTAATTTAGAGATGAGGATGTTAGAGTTCATAGATATTCAAGTTTGGCCAAGGTCATATTAGTAAGTAGTAGTATTCCTTTAACTTACTGATCAAGTATATATTTTCTGATTTTTTTTTAGAGCCCATGGGACTATAATTTGTCTTATTTTATTGGTGTATTTAGTCCTACATTGTTTAGGAGAATAATGTGCCAAATATTGCTATCAAAAAGATTTTCATATGAAACCAGCTCTATAGAAACTCTTTCTTATCTCTTTTCCTTACTCATTTTTGTAGTAGTGATGACTATAACAATACATTCTCTCTCTTCTGCTCTTCTTGCAATTTAACTTTGACACTGCTCCTGTCAAGGAATGGGAACTATGTTCTCTCCATTTGAATCTGGTTGTCAGTGGTAGTAATGCTTTGTGAGTTCTGAGGCTGATTCATAAAAGGTGGTTTTTAACCTTATTCTTCTGGGACACTCACTCAATTTAGCCATCATACTGTTAGGAGGCCCCAAGCAGCTTGCAGAGAGGGCAATATGGAGAGAATCGTAGGGTCTGGTCATCAGCAGGAACAACTGCACTGCCAGCCTACAGTGAGCACCAACCTGACAGTCATGTGTATGAATTGTCTTGGAAGCAATCCTGAAATCCCCAGTTCCCTGCCCAGCTGATGTTATATGGAGCAGAGATAAGACTTTCACAATGATCCTTGTCAAAACTGAGGATATGTAAGCAAATAAACTATTCATCACTGTTGTTTTAAGCTATATATTTTCCAATGATTTGCTATTCAGCAATAAACTAAACTAAAATGTATCAAATGTCCATTTGGATTCATAGAACACTTACTGTTGAAAACCATTTTCATTTCACTACCTTTCTGAAAGTTTCCTTTCCATTACTTGGGCTTAATCTTAACCTGATAAAAGTAAACCCCCAAAAGTTGTCCAGTTCCTGGTAGAAGTGCACAAATCTGAAATAATTTCTGTTTTGTAGTTTTGTTCTTATACTGCTCTGTTATAAAACCCTATTTGTCTGTTTTGACCAGAAACATCCAGGGAAAAAGAAATTATGTTTATTTGCTCTGGACTTCTTGTAGTAGTTGAAAGGCAAAGTAATCTTTGTTGCATTTCTAGTTATAACTGATTGGAACGCCCAAGAAAAAACTGTAAGCAGATAATCATTTTAGTGATAACTGGAGCTAGGATAAAATATTTAAAAATGTTTATATGTATTATTGTATGTGTAGGGGAGAGAGAGTGAGAGTGAGTAAAAGAAAGAGAGATAGAGAGGCAGAAACAGAGAGAGAGAGAGAGAGAGAGAGAGAGAGAGAGAGAGAGAGAGAGAGAGTTGGGGTGTGTAAGTGAGGAAAGATGAGAAAATTGAAGTATATAAGAGTCATTAGGTTGGTGAGAAGACCCAATGCCAAGCAGAATTGCATCTAAATACTACGAGAATGACTGGGGAAGACTGAGAAACTGTTAACTTATAATCAGGGCTGGCTACCTAAGTTGCAGAGCCTAGTTTAAAAGAAAAATGCAGGGCCTATTTTTCAAAAAGCAGGAAAAAACTGTGGTTAGAGTATATAAAAATCTTTTGCTTTTATTCCCATGATCTTGCTCTCAAATTGTTATGATGTTTTTATATTTGCTTTATATCATTCTGAGAAGTAAAAATTAAAATGTTTATTAGCATAAATTTTACCTTTCATCTTTACATGGTGTGATACCAATTCTAAACACAAATATTAGCACATTTAATTCATGCAAATACACCACCATTAAATTTATATTTCATGGCTTGTCCCTGGAGGGTGTCTTAAGCTGGCTGGAGAGAAAAATATAGGTCAGACTTGGGAAGGTTGGAAGGAGGCATCTACGGCTCAAGGAATCTTGCTGGGCGAGTGCAGACCCTCGCAGACATGGGGCCCTGCTCACAGGACCAGGACATATGACACTTCCTAGTTCCTACCAGCCCCTGGACTGATTCACTGAACTTCAGCCAAGGAAGGGTCTGCATTGGAAGAAGTCAGTCATTTACCCTTTACGTGGCCACTGCCCCAACCCACGGCAGGGCAGGTGACCTCCAAGGATCTTTAGACCTCTGCACCCAGAAGCCCTCAGTTTCTGGTTCAGGTGCCCTGTATTATTAGTATACATTTTCAAATTCTAGGGTTGGATTTCTTATTTATCTACATTATTTGTTGTTATCTGATTTAGTCCATCTTTCTAACTTGCTGCATTACTTTGGGTTCTTATTCTATGGAGTAGGTACTTATTCAGTTGTCTTCCCATTGACCTCTCTATACTTTTAAGAACAATCTATCTTCCTGTTTCATATGGAAAAATTGATGGGCTCCAAAATTTGCCCTTCTTACCCCAAATCTATCAAAATGCTAATCAGAATAAATGTTTTTTCCAGTTGTCAAGATTTTTCCTAGTTGGAAGGCAGTTTGGGCTATAATAGCAATATTTTTCTATTTTGGAAGAGGTGTCCATGACAACAGAGAAGCTGGCTCTGCTCTCATTTGCTCTAAGGAGTCGAAGCCACAAGTCTGGCATTCAATTCTAGATGCTGCACTTATGAGGACACTAATTCATCTGTCCAATAGGGATGGTAAATGGTTTTGGAAATATAGTCTCTGAGGAATAGTTGAAATTTGTAGATGAAAAGCGGATGTGGAGGACATCTATCTGATTTTAAATATTTAAAGGACTGTCATTTGGAATAGGAATTAAGACTGAGCTTGAGCGCCCTCAAAAGACAAAACTAGTATTAATGAATGGCTAAAAGAGGAAGACAAATACATTTAAGAGGAAGAATCTTTGAATAGCTTCAGTGTGCAAAACTGAATCCTAACTTAGGAAGCTTTTTCTCCTTGGCAGTATTCAAGCAGAAGAGTACTTTGCACCAAGGCCATTGTCCAAGACAGAATTTGTTCTACTGCAGTGGAATTTAGTATGAAAAGCTGGGAATCATTCATGGAGTGGCTCTTAGATCATGAAAAGCACGATTTGGTGCTCTGAGAAGGCTTATTTCCTGTTATAAAGTATTGTGTTGAGGCGTGCATAATGTCTGCATTAACTTCCTAGGCTGCTCTAGCAAAGTACCGCAAACAGGGTGGCTTCAAACAACAGAAACTTGCCTCCCAGTTCTAGTGGCTAGACATCCAAAGTCAAGTTGTTGGCAGGGCCATGCTGCTTCTGAAAGCTGTAGAGGAGAATACTTCCTTGCCTCTTCCTAGCTTCTAATAATTGCCATCAACCTTTGACATTGCCTGGCTTGTAGCTGTCTTACTCCAGTCTTCACCTCTGTTGTCATATGGTCACTAATGTCTTCTCATAAGCACAGTAGTCCTATTTGATTAGGGCCTCCCCTGATGATTTCATCTTAACTTGATTGCATTCACAAAGACTCTATTTCCAGATGAGGTCACATTCACAGGTACCAGGGGTTAAGACAGCAACATACCTTTTTGGAAAGCACAATTCAACCCATTACAGTGTATCAAGGAGGCTGACATCCTGCGCTTGGATTCTGTCCTTGGCATGCTCAATTATCTAAGCAAGACAATTCATTTCTTGGGACTTCAGTTTCTGTCTGTAAGATAAGAGCAATGGCTTTCTCTGGTCATCTGACAGGATCTGATGTGAAGATAGAAAGCATTGACACATAGACCTATACTAGGAAAACCCCTAATGTGTGGATACCTTTATTGGAATTCACTCAATATAAGTACATATCCAAATTATAAATATTTTTTTCTTTTAGACATCATTAAAGCATGAAATTCTTAATCTCTAACTTGTATAAAAGTCTTACAAACACTAGCTACAAAGGGCCAAAGGGCAGGATCCATAGTAAGAGCATGAGAAACAGCATAAATTTATTTCGTTTTGGAGGAGTCAGTGAAAATGAACTAACTTAATCCACACAATCTACTCAGTCCACATGAAGAAAAGAAAAACACAGGGGAAAAGAATAAATTGGGAATTTATTTTAAAATTTATGATCTAATTTTTTCACTGCACAGTCACTTTGTTCTCACAACATCGAAGACTTTCTGGTGACCTAAATCTGTCATTTTCTCTTAGCAGGCCCTGTTTTCTTTCCTGTCCTTGATATCCAGCTGCTCTTTGGGCTCACTGTAGATCACCATCAGGGACTGTAGGGGGCGACATGCAACATGTTTCCAAACAAAGGGGGTGAGTGGTCTGGCATTTGAGAAAAGACTTTAAAAACATTTCAGCATGTAACCCAAAGTAGGTAATAAATCTGGACAAGAGTGGCAAAAACTATCGTGAAAAAGAACAAAGTAGAAGAACTCATAATTCCAGATTTTAAAAAGTATCCCAAAGCTACAGTAATCAAGACACTGTGGTACTGGCATAAGGACAGACATATAGATCAAGGGAATAGAATTGAGAAGCCAGAAATAAACTCAAACTTTAATAGTTAATTTATTTTTAACAAGGGTGCTAAGATAATTCAAAGGGAGAAATAATAGTGTTCTTAAGAAATGGTGCTAGAACAATGGGATATTCACATACAAAAGGGTGAAATTAGACATCTAGTTCATACCATATATAAAAATTAACTCAAAATGGATCATAGATCTAAATTTAAAGAGCTAACTCTATAAAACTCTTAGAAGAAGATAGGAGTAAACCTTTGTGACCTTGGGTTAGAAAATGGTTTCTTTTATTTATTTATTTATTTAAAAATTACTATTATATTATTTTTGATTGGCAAATTATAACTATACATTTATAAGGTACAATGTGCTGTTTTGATATATGTATACAATGTTGCATGATTAAATCTATCTCATTAATATATCCATCACTTTGTTTACCTATCATTTTTTACAGTGAGACATTTGCAATTGGCTTTCTTAGTTATTTTGAAATATATAAAACGTTATTATTAACTAGAGTCATTCTGATGTACAATAGATCTTAAAACCTATTCCTACTGTCTACCTGAAACTTTTTGCCTTTTGATCAACAACTTTTCATTCTCTCCCTCTCCACCCCTAGCCTCTGGTAATCATTGTTCTACTCTCTATGAATTCAACTTTTTTAGATTCTGCATATAAGTGAGATTATGTGATATTTGTCTCTCTGTGACTAGCTTATTTCCCTTAGCATAATGTCTACCTGATTCATCCACATTGTCACAAATGAGATATTTCTCCCCTTTTTGAAGGCTGAGTAGTATTCCATCATGATTATACAAGGAAATGGTTTCTTTGGTACTGTACCAAAAGCACAAGTGACAAAATGAAAAAAATGGATAAATCAAACTTACCAAAATTAAAATGCTTTGTGCTGTAAATAATACCATCAAGAAAGGGCAAACTTCAGAAATGGAAAACAATATTTACAAATCATATGTCTTATAAGAGACCTGTATCCAGAAAATCTAAGGAACTCTGACAATTCAATAATATCAGGAAAAATTTTAAGTACACCTTTACCCTAAGATGATATATAAATGACCAATAAGCATGTGAAAAAATACATAACATTATAGTCATTAGGGGAATGCAAATCAAAACCACATGGCCTACCACTTCATACTCAATAAGGTGGCTATAATGAAAAAGACAGACAGTAGCAAGTATTGACATGGATGTGGAGCAATTGAAACCCTCATACATGGCTGGTAGGAATGAGAAATAGCACAGGTACTTTGGAAAATGGTTTGGCAGTTTCTCAAAATGTTAAACATATAATTACAATATGACTCAATAATTCTACTTCTAGGGGTACAGCCAAGAGAATAGAAAACACATGTCCATGCAAAAACTAGTGCATGAATGTTAATAGCAGCATTATCCATACTTCCAACATCAAATTGGAAACAACCCAAAGGTCTCTCAAATATTGAATGGATAAGAAAAATGTGGTATATTTATACAATGCAATGGTATTTGAAAATAAATAGGAATGAAGTACAGTTTATCCATGAACAAGTCAGGGTTGAACTACATGGGTTCACTTACACTTGAATTTGTTTTTAGCAAAATTCAGATCAAAAATACAGTATTCACTGGATGTGAAACCCACATATATGAAGGACTGACTTTTTATATACTTGGGTTCTTTAGGGCTGACTATAGGATGTAAGTATGCATGGGTTTTCTGATTACACAGAGGTAGAGGAGGGAGCCCTGAAACCAACCCCACATGTATACCAAGAAATCACTGTACTGACACATGCTACAACATGGATGCAGCCTGAAAACATGATGCTAAGTGAAAGAAGCCAGTCATAAAAAAACATAAAATTATATGATTCTGCTTGTGTGAAAGGTCCACAATAGGCAAATCTGTAGAGATAGAAAGTAGATTAGTAGTTGCCTAAGGCTGGTGAGAGAGAGAGGAATGGGCAATAACTACTAATGGGAATGGACTTTCTTTTTGGGCTAATGGAAATGTTCTAAAGTTAGATTATTGTAGTGGTTGCACAACTCTGTGAATACCCTAAAATCCATTTAATTGTACATTTTAAATGGGTAAAGTTATGCTATGTGAATTATATCTCAATGAAGCTGTTGCAATATGCTATGGGAGAAGGTACCAGGTGGCATGTACTTTTGACAGAATAACAGGAAAGGAGAATGTGAAGAAGTAATCTATAAAGTGAGTTCTAAAAGATGTTTGGGGATTAGCCAGATGAAGAGAGAGGGAAAGAATCTACCAGAAGCAATGACGTGGAAAAAAGCCAAAAGTGGAAAAGATGTTTTGTATTAAAGGTTTGTGGTAGGAAGAATGCTGAAATGGCCCCACGATGCTCACCCTGGTCTGTGTGCTCTGCATACTTTCTGCTCTTGGGAAAGGGAAAGACCTGTGATTTGCTTCTGGCTGGTAGAACGTGGTAAATATGAAGCCATTTTCCAGATGTGATTCATGTCAGTTAATTTTGAATTAATCATGGTGAGATGATCCTAGCTGGGTCTGAGCTTAATAGGCAAAAGCTCATAATAGAGGGATGGGCTTTTCTCTAAGAAGAGAGTCTTTCTTCATCACTGACCTTGCAGAAGTCAACTGGCATGTTTTGAGAAGGCCTTCAGAGCAGGCCATGTTGCAAGGAACTGGTGGTGGCCTTTAGTTGTTGACAGTGACTCTCACCCAAAAGCCAGCAAGAGAACAGGGACCTGGATGCTACAGATGCAAAGAAATACATTCTGCCAACAACATGGTTGGGATCAGAACCTGGTTCTTCCCCAGTTGATCCTGTAGATGAAAAGGTAGCCCAGCTGACACCTTGATTGTAGCCTGGTGGGATCCTGGAGCAGAGGGCTCAGCCAAGGCATGCTTGAAATCCCAGCCCACAGAAACTTTGAGATAATATATGTGTAGAGTTAAGGCCCAACCTGTGTGGCAAATTTTTATGCAGCAAATCAAATGGGAAAGTGTTGCTATAGCTTTAAGAATGGCGGGATAGCAAGTGGAGGATGCAGGAGTGGGGAGTGTGGAATGAGAAGCGTCAGAGAGGCAAGGCTAGGTCAGAGAGGAGCCTGCAGCCTATTTCATTTTACAAATTAATGGGAAATCACTGCTCATGTCTAAGTGGGGGATACAGTGTGATTCAATGAATGTTTTTGAAAGATTTCTCTGGCTGTGTTCAAGAGAATGGCTTGGAAATGAACAAGAGAGGAAGTCATGGGCAGTTAGAACACTAAAACAATTCTAATGAAGGTTTCAGTTAAATGATAACTTCTAAGGTGTGGACAATGAGCTGGAAAAGGGAGGAAAGTTCTGAGGGAACTGAAAGAGAGCAGGATGAGGCAGACTTTAAAAGTTGAGAATATTAGGGATTTATTTATCTGACTTAAGCAACATCATGGAAGACAATTGTGTTTTCTAATGTCAATAATTTTTGTTCTATAGGCTTCAAATTGCTTCTTCCTTCTGACCTTGGACATGTCAAGTTCTTTCCTTAACTTAAAGAAAAAGAATGTCAAAGAGAAAGCACAACACATAACTGTGGATTCTGATTAGCAGCTGTCCCTCCTTCCTTGTTTGGCCCATTTTCTTCCAGAGCAAGACTGGGAGGCACAGCATTGACTTCTTTTGCAACCTGACTTTTGCTTTTTCCTCTGACTCTAATGAAATATCTCTCTCCAAAGGCATCCAGGACCTCTGAAAGGCACTCTTCTCTGGCACCATTTCCAATCTCATCATTTCAGTGTGATTCTGTTAACCACTCTTCCCTTTCTTGAAATGGCTCTTTTTTCTTATAAATGATTCACAATATGGTTTCTCTGCTTCCTTCTCCATGTATCCCTCCCTGGCTTTTTTCCTGGCACCTGTCCTCCCCTGCCCCTCCCTAGCTACAGATAGCATCAACATTTCCCAAGCCATCATGGTAGAATGTTGAAGCATCTTTAGCTTTTTCCTTTCTTGACTCTAACATTTCCTGATACTTAGACTTGCATATTTTATAAACAGAGTTTGGAAAAGTATGAGAGATTGTAACTTTGGTTCAACAACTTTTGTTATACAGATAAGGACTCTGCGCTCAGTGAAGGAACCTAAACTTTTGCAGTCATTCTTTTTTTTTTTTTTTTGTTTGAGACAGAGTCTCACTTTGTTGCCCAGGCTAGAGTGAGTGCCGTGGCATCAGCCTAGCTCACAGCAACCTCAAACTCCTGGGCTCAAGTGATCCTCCTGCCTCAGCCTCCCGAGTAGCTGGGACTACAGGCATGCGCCACCACGCCCGGTTAATATTTTTTTGTATATATATTTTTAGTTGGTCAATTAATTTCTTTCTATTTTTTAGTAGAGATGGGGTCTCGCTCAGGGTGGTTTCAAACTCCTGACCTCGAGCAATCCGCCCGCCTCGGCCTCCCAGAGTGCTAGGATTACAGGCGTGAGCCACCACGCCCGGCTATTCTTTTATTATTTTTTTCTTTTTATCTTCATGGTGATCACACTAGTTCTTTCTTTTACCTACTGTCTAGATTATTGCCACAGATTCCCATATTGTATGTCAATCTTCCCAATATTCTTCTTTGATTATTTGTTAATTAATTAAGAAGCTATTAATTCACTTAACAAATGCTTGTTGAACATTCATTTTGTCTTATCTATGTTCTTGGCTCTGGGCAAACATGATAGATAAAGTCTCTACCAGGTTCCGTAAAGTTTATTTTTCACTTTCTTATGGAGGAAACAGATGATAAACAAGAACAAAA